AAAGTGCTCTTTAATTTTTTTTATTTTTCTTTCTGTCGTAAATTTTTTATTTGTTTCTTTTTGTTTTTCCTGCTAATTTTTCTCTATCTCGCGAATGAAATGAACACAATCTATAGATAAAAAGTAGAAAACAAAAAAAATTAAATTTTAAGTTCATTGATTTGTGTCACTTTTTGTCTGTTTGTTTTTTTTTGTTTTTTTGGCCTAAAATAGTTTTCGCAAAAAAAAAAATTTTGCTTTTGATATGGCGAATTTTTTAGATTTTGGAACATAATCGCGAAAATAATTTTTTTTGTTTTCTCTTGTATTTTTCTTTTATTTTGAGATATGCTTGCCCTTCATGAAAGCTTATTTTATTTCAGTTATTTCTTTTTTTTTTTTTGTTTCTTTTGATTAATGAAGTTGGATAACACAATTAGAACTTTTTTTTTCCTTTTGTTCTTTTGTCGGTTTAGTCATGTGTTTTTTGAATTTTTTGTTTTGGAATGGTTGATGGTGGCGGCGACGCTGAAAACTTTAATAAAATAAAATAATCAACATTACGAGTATAAAATAAAATGTTGTAGGAGAAAGTGGGAGCTAGCTTAAAAATGATTTAGTACTATGCATATGCTAGGAATAAATATCAAAATATGTGTATACGTGTGTGTGTTTTTCTAGAAACCAACCTAAATTGTAATTGTAATTGTCAAAATTTATTATACAAAATTTTAAACCTAATTTTTACACAAAAATTCCTATATGCACACATATAGGAATATATGTATGGACATAAATATAAGCATGACGTACAAATTTGCAATTTACAAAAAAAAGGGGGGACCATACGAAGTCTGTCGTTAAGCTAATATTTAACATTTACTTATTAAAAAAAAATTTTTTCTTTTTGGTAAGCACACACTTTATCACATTCTTTTTAGTGTTTAATATGTTTACATTGTGTGGGTAGTTTTTTTTATTTTTGCTCTTTTTTTTTCAAAAAATTTAATAAAAAAAAATTCAATAAAGAAAAACAAAAATTTATTTTTATACGTTCTACATATTATGAACGTATTTCTGTATATTTACATACACACACGCAACCTAAATATTTAATTTTATTCGAATTAAAACAAACAAAAAAATGTCAGATAAAATAATTTTTTTTTATTTTTTAAATTATCAGGTGGGCATCATATGTTTTTAAATAGTGGGTTTATTTTATTTTCTAGTTGTCGTAATAGGATAATATTTCGTTGGTCGTCACAAAAAAGAAATAATAACATAAAACAACCATGAATTGTTTGTGCATGTGTATGTAATTTTAAGCATTTTGACATGATTCTATTTTTGAAAATTAAAAAATATGAACATGCATTTTGACATAGGTACGTATTTGAAGTAGAGGATCTGCGAGAAATCGGCCCCCCTATAAATCAGAAGTTCGAAATCATCGGAAATATAAGTGTCTTAAGCTTGTTTTGATACGAATTGTGATAACAACAGTATAATAATAAATATTATTGTATAAGATTATCATATATCCAATATTGTATATCGTAATTTTCCATGTATTGAATTTTTATAATTTTAATTTAGCAAATTGGAAATTGGTTAAGACTTAATTATTTTTTTCTTTAAATATAATAAATTCACATTCCGATATTCACAATTACTCAAAAATTTCAGCAGTAAAATTAAATTTAAGATCTTTTTAATTAATACAGATAAAGTGAAGTTTTGTAAATTAATGCGATAGTGTCTGTTATATTATTCTATAACAAAACATTTCAGTTAAAGTTTAGTTAGATTTTTTTTTAGATTGTAATATAATAAATGAGAAGAAATTAAACAATTGTTCCTTAATTCCTAAATTTTTAATTTAATTATAAAATTATATTAATTATAATTATATTTATGCGTTGTACGTGTGTTTGCAAGTATATTTTATCTGATTTTACTATCATATAAGAGTTTTTTATATGCAATAAGAAAACAATCAAATTCATATATTATATTCGAAAATATTTCAAGATTGAATCTAATCAATTACGAGTATAAAAAGTATTTTCTTTCATTGTATTTGTAATTGTGTACAATTTTTACAATGCAATTTTTATGTTATTTAAATACAACAATCTTTCTATATTCACATTGTAGGTAAATGGTATTTTTTCCCCCTAAATACTTTTTACTCCCTCTCTTATTCATTCGGTTATTTTCATATTCAGTGTACAGATGTAAGTACGTATATACCTATATGAATTTTATCTTAATCCTAGACTCTAAATAAGGGAATTTATTTTATTTCTTCTATGTTTCCATAATATTAGTAATATTTGTGGTTTTCATTATTTTTTTACATTTCTATTTTCATATTTTTCTATATATTATTTAAAAATATGTTTAGTATGATTTCTATACACTACAAAAGCATCATATGCTGCATACTCATTTATTATTGTATATTTATTTGCATATACATACATACTTATTTATATTTATGCATATAACAAGTATTTACAGATATTTATTAATATATGTACATATGTATGTAAATATAAAATCAACGCATGTTGTTGCTCATACCATAAGAAAAACCTACAGGTGAAAGAACTTGTGTCCTTCACAAGAAGAAACAGCTCTAAACAATTTTTTTTTTTTTTTTTAAAAGCATTAAAATAAAATAAAAAGAGGAAAAAGAAAAGAAACAATATTGTCGCGCGCTTTTTTCAGTTTTGATTCGTCGATATTCTTTTGTCGATTTCGATTCAACAGCAACGCACGATTTTTCTTTCTTTTTTTTTTATTTTTCCTTTCTATTTATAAATACTAACTTACATACATATGTATAAATAAATATAACAACATTCCCGTCTTAGCAAATCAGGGGGTTAAATAAAGTATAAAGTAGTGAGTTCAGAAGGCCAAGTATAGTAGAAGAAAAAAGCTAACACTAACTTTAAATAGTATAGTAAAAAAATTAAAATATACATATATGTATATAATTTTTTCGGAAGCAGATTATGTAAATGGTGTAAAATAAATAGAAAAGATATAAGAATAATAGTAATAAAAATATTATGTACACGTACGATATATGTATACATATAAGTAAAAATAAATATTTAAATAAAAAAAATATGTATACGTAAGTATGTACATATACATATGTATGTATGTAAACATATAAAATCTAAAATAAAATTAAAACATAAATGCGTACATATAAGCTATTAATAAAATTTACTATAGTAACTTCGATGTAGTCTTAAATCTGCATCACTTTTGTACACATGTACATAAATATTTACAAGATAACTTTCGGTATTAGTTAATTACAAGATTATACTTTCGAAGTTGGAATGCCAATGTATGCGTTTTTCCAAAAAATTGCCATTGATTTCACTTCTCGATTTTGAATTTTAAAGAATTTTTGTTGAACAGCATTTTTGCAAATCAAAGTTTTTGTCGAATCAATTATTTGAGTTGTTACATTGTATGTACAAACATTTAAAGTAGCTGCTTAAATAAAGGCTTGTTGCTGATTATAAGCTCCGTCGTTCAAATACCATAGATTTATATGATTTATATGATGAATTTTAATTTGGATAGTTGTATGAAAAAATTTATTTGTTTTCTGTTTCAAAGGATTTTTTGTTTTTGTAATATTAATAATAATTAATTAAATTGTTTCAAAATTTGATCGATTTAAAGAAATACACATACGTATGCATATGCATACTTTATTTATGAGAAAGCGATTCTTTTAAATAATTGAGTGTTAATTAACAGAGAAGCACTGTAAACATTACATACTTTGTAAACGAAACACTACAAACAATAATCAATCTACATAACAATTGATTAGGATTGCAGCGAAAGAATTTATTATCTGATTAAAAAAGAAGCGACAATAAAAGTAAAATATGAAAGCAACATAACCACAATAATATAAAGTAAGGGAAGGATAAAATAATGTGTATAACACAGAATGAAAAATTATGTTGATAACATGAAATTTTTATGCTTTAACAATGACAAGAGAGAAACGAAAAACTGATGTTGAAAAGAACAAAGTTCAACTGCAACAACAATAACAATGTTAAAAATGTTATAAAAGACAAATTGTTTTTGAACACAAAGAAAAAAAGGGAAAAAAAAAAGAAATGAGATCGAATCGAAAGATGGAACATAAAATAAGTATCTGAATCTGAAGTTATTTTTATTCCCTTCTTCCCATCCGATATCACATATAATTCTTATTTTATATTAAAAGCAAAATCAAAAGTACAGTCGTTGTAAAAAGCTAAAATGTGTATATTTAAATATTATGTACCTATACATATGTATGTTTACATATATTGCATTTATGTATAAAATTTCAATTTATTTTTATACATACATACATGCATACATAATATAATGTATTTGTATATTTTATTCTAGAATATTTCTTTTTATAAGTTTTTCTTTATTATCATTTTTACAAGAATATAAAAGAAAGAGTACATACATAGTTGAATCCCAAAAATGTTGACTTGACATTGAAAGTATTTTCATATGTTCTTTGTTTTCAAGAAAAAATTGAAAAAAACGCGGTAAAAATTTATACCCATATCATGAATTAGAATTTTTTCTATTGAGCAAAAGTAGAAGTTTATTAGGGTTTCTAAAAATAACAAATCAATTATGTGTATTATACCTCTATGTATGTATTTTGTGAGTTTTGTAGGAGTTGTTTGTGTTGACCCTGTAGGGGAACTTGTTTAAATTTACAAATTTTATATAATAAATGAAAATGTATATACTAAGACTACATATTAACAAAGGCATATGACATTTTTTTAATAACTTATTTGATGCAGCTAAAAATGCAAATATTAAAAATATTCATAAATTGAGGTTATTGAACATTTAATAGTTTTGAAAAAATTCCTTTATCTTCTTCATTAATTATTTTGAATTCATTTTTATTTTTTATAAATTTTTAATTTGTTTTTTCTTTTTTTATATTTTAGGCGGCAATTTTACAACAGACCGCACAATACATATTGGATTTGGAAAGTGAGAAAACTCAGCTGTTATCACAAAACAGTCAACTAAAACGACAGCATTGTCAACATGAAGGTTGTACTAATACACCAAAATCAGATAATTCTACTGGAAATGCAACAGGAATTAATAGTATTGGACCAGAAACTGTAACAGCGTTGAAAAAACGTAAATTAACTGATAGTGTTATATCGATGCAAGCAATTTCTGATTCATCTGATGAAGGATTGGGTTCAATGTCGCCTGAACCAGTTACCTTGATAACGGCTTCTGGTGTACAAATTCAAACTAATAAGCCCGTTTCTGCCACTAATGCAGCTACAGCATACATCAGTAGTACAGCAAAAGAAGTTAATGAATTAAAAGTTCGTTTGGAAAATGAGCGTAAACGTCGACGTTTAACTGAAGAACGTGTTCGAATTTTGGAAAAGAAATTACATTTATTTGGACAAGATAGACAAGTACAACATCAACATCATTACAGTATTCAACGTGAAGTTATTGAACATACTGATAATATACGTGAGGAAGACTATGAGCAGCACATAATACATCAACCAATTTATACAGAACAAGAGGAAATAAAGATTGATCCAACTAAGCTACAAGTTGTTGAATTAAATGATATTCCAAATGTTGGTCAAACTCAAGTCGTTATTTGTTCACAAATGGAAGATATGCAGGACGATGAAGCAGCTGAGATAATTACAGCTGATATACAAAACATACGCGAAGAGGTTATTATGACTGATGAAAATACAGAAATTTTGGAAGTTCCATCACGTTTACAGCCAATTTTAGAAGCTGCAATTAAAGCTGAACCAAAAGTTGAAGTTGAGCGTATTAACGCAACCTTGACTAAGCGCAATGATGATGGGAAACGTATGTATTTAACAAGTACATCAAGGCAGAATTTAGAAACAATTGTTGAAGCAATTAGGCATTTGGAGGGTGATCATTTATTTGCTGACAGTTCGCAAATCGAACAAGAACAACTTAAAAAATCCCCACAGGAGACACCACTTGCATTAACGACATCAGTTAAACAACATCAAATTCAAACGCAAGCACAGCAACAGCAACAACCCCAAATTCATCAAGTTCATACACAAGCATTAACGACTCAACAACAGAGAAAGCTTACAAGTGATTTGAGTCCGTTCCTACAATTGAAAGCAAAAACAGCGAATGTAACCATAGTTGGTAAAACAGCAAGTAGCATAAACAATAGTAGTATAAGCCAGAGTAGTTTAAGTAATCCCACCAGTAGTACACTATCTGGAAATAGTTCCGGTACAATCACATTAAAGCAACATCCAACGACGACGCAGTCGCAGGTAATTCTTTTCATATATATATATATTTGCTTTTTAATTAATTTGGAAATATTATATTTTAGATCGCACCTTCAACAATAATTACAACACAATTGAAACAATGTCGACCTGGTGTTATTGTTGCCAAACAAGTCTCTTGATTTAATAAATTAAATAACAAACACATAGTATCATCATTATCATCAAATCCAGTTCAAAACTCGACGACTATAACAACCTTGTCAGATTCATCATTATCAACAACAAAAATTGCATCAACAACAGCAGCTGAATTAATTTCAAATAGGCCTGAACTCACCATTACGAATACAACAAAAAACCAATCTCAAAAAAATTCCATTAATAACAATAATAACAGTAATAACAGCAATACTAATAATAACAATATGAATACTGGTAATAATAATAATAATAATAATAATAGTAGTAATAATATTATTATAAACGATAATAATAATAACAGTAATATTAATAATAATTATATTAATAACACTAATAGTAATAATATAATTAATAATAGCAATCAGAATATTATTTCTCCAACAACTGTAAACATTATGAATGTGAATTCAACAATACAACAGACAACACCCATTCAAGGAATATCAAAAACAATAGCGATAACTAATAATTCTCCGATTATTACATCAGTAACTTCTTTGTACGCAAAACCGTCAGCTTCAACATTTCCGTTATCATCGACAGTATCAACAGGAACTACATTAATATCTTCATCTGCATCTACATCATTACCATCAACATCATCGCCAACATCATCATCATCGTCAATAAATAACACATTGTTGAATAAGTCTAGATTTAATGTAAATCATAGTAATAATAAAAATTATAATAGTAATAATAATGATAATAATAAAAAAGTTTATAATATAAATAATAACATTGATAACATTAAAAATAATTGTAAGGCATCTAAAAGTATAAATAAACAAAAGATTACAATATTGACTACGAAAAATAATTTGCAACAAAAACAGCAAACGATTAATAAAATTAGTAAAAACAATAATAATAGTACAACCAAAAATTTAACTACAAACATAGCAACCAAAAACTTAATTCATCAACAGATACAACAGCAGAAACAACAAAAAGTACATAATATTCAACCAAACTCGAATGTAACCACGAAATCCGGAAAATTTGCTATAAAATTAAAACAAAGGCAACAAAATACAATGACTAAATAAATAAAAAAAATAATTATGTAATAATCATAAAGTATATTTATTATACTTTCCTTCATTAAACAATTTTTCACAAATTAATTTAAATAATATAAAAATAAATTATTAATTAAAAAAGATGTGAGATGTGCATGTATATATTATTATATACAAATACATCAATTTAATTATTTTTATTTCTAAAATGTACGTATATCATAATAAAATAAATGCTTTTTATGTTTGCTTAATGAAATCATCAATACGTAGGAAATTACTAATATTAATATTGATGCAAATTTGAAGTAAAATTTAAAATAACTATAAATATTTGATTTATTCTTTTTTAATTTTTCAAATGAAATTTATAATTTCATATTTTATAAAAGCATTAAGGTTTAATATATATGAATCAAAAAAATTATGGCTTTGAGTTTAATTAGAATAAAGAATATACAAAGCACCCCTTAAGCAGTTTTATATTTCTATTTTATTAAATTTAATTTTTTTTTTTAAAAATTGGAATATATTGCTATATAATTGCACTTAAAAGTATTATAAAATGTTAAAACATGTTATCATATACAAAATGATTTTCATTCAATAAAATATTTTTGAATAGTTTAAGAATTTTCAACGCCGAATGATATTGAAAAGGGGGAGTTGTATTTAAATGATTAGTTCTTAATGATATTCATAAAAAAAATTAAATGTTTTCAATTTAAATAAGATTAAATGTTTTCGCTATAAATTTGTATTTGTTTTCTTTTTTCTTGTTTTTAAATATTGTGTAACTGAAAATTTTATAATTTTGCGAAATTATATTTGAAAATAGAACTTTAAAGTTTCAGTAAATACTTTTATTGACAAAATTTAACTACATTTATGTATATATCATAACGTAGTGTATGAAAAAGTTCTATTTAATTAATTAAAAATTCTTTAAAACTATAAAATTTAAATAAATTTTAATTTTATTAGAAACAAAACTAAAAATAAAATTGATGAAATTTTGAATTTAATTAATAATAATACATTAAAATGTTAGTTTTTCTTAATTACTTTTTTTTTTAATAATTTGACCTTATTTCATAATTTATAATATGTACATGAATTAATAACCATTTTTTTAAAATTAATTGAAGAAAAAATTATAATAAATATTGTATAACTAGAGATTTTCGTTACTTTTCACAAATTAGTTAAGATTAACTATAAAAAAATTTTAATATTCGTTTCGAGATATTATTCTTGTGCTAAATTTGAACTTTTTTGAATTGTTCAAGAATTATACATCCATATTCGGTTAGACGCATGAGATGAAGGGATATTATTGAAAAGAATTTTACTTTTCAGTACAGAATTTCAAATTTTGAAATTGTTTTTACTCAGAAAATTACAAATTTTTTGAATAACAACACATCACGTCAAATGATGTGACTAGCAGAATGTAGGTGATAATTTATATGAAATTATAAATGAATTTCGCATGAAATTATACTTTGACGTAAAACTTTTTATGCATTAACATCTATTTGTAAAGATTTTAATTAAATAAATTAATGAAAACTTACGGGTGTTACACAACTTGTTAAGAGTAATTTGATGATTTCGTAAATGAAAAATAGTGTGAACGCCTCTTTAATAAAATTAGTGAGAAATTTATTATTTTTTTATTGCCTCAGGTATTTAGTAGAATTTAGAAAATGTAATCAGCAAAAATGAAAACAAAAATATTATATTAGAAAAATAAAGTATAAAATTTAATTTTTATTTTGAAAATAAATATATAAATTAAAATGCTACATTGGTTACTATAAATGTAATAAAAATAATCTATAAGAAAAGATATACTTATATTGTAAAATCAAAAATTAGTTTTATAATTTCTTGAAGGATTCAAATTTTATGTTTTTTCTTCCTATTTAAATAAAAATAAACTTATAAAAAGAAACTAATAATTTTCATTTCATTTTTTTTTTCTTTTTTGTTTTCTTTGTCTGCAAAGAAAGAAAACAAAAAATATTTTATTTTCGTGCATATTTATTAATTAAAAATTTAATATTATTTTCATAAATTATAATGAGAATTTTTTATTATAAAAAAATGTTTATTTATTGAAAAGAAATTAAAAAAAATTTGAAAAATTTTAATATTTAATATAAAAATTTTTCTGCAAAAATTTACTAAATATATACATTTGGCTTTCATATTTTGTAATTATCACCCTTATTTTTTTAGTCGCATCATCTGAAGAGATGCGATGTTAATGGAAAGAATTTTGTTTTTCAGCATTTTGAATTACAGAAATTATTTTATTCAGAAAATTACAAGATTTTTGAATAATTTTGAATAACAATCCATCACATCAAGTGACGACTAACAGAATATGGGTGTATGTAATTTGATTAAATATCACAATTATAAATCAAATTACGTGTTTTTAAAAATTTTTATCAGCAAATATCGACTAATTTTCAAAAAATATCATAGACGAAAGATTTTCTTTATTTTTTTTTTATTTTGTTTCTCAAAAAAAAATTTTTTTTTAATATAGTTTGTTATTCAGAAAATAACTTAACAAAAGATTCTAAAATAATATAAAATCAAAAAATTGAAATAATCAATATAACTATTTCTTTTAAAAACGCCATAATATTAATAAATTTTCTTTTGATAGAAGATAAGGATGAAAATTAAAATAATTTGTGAATACTTTTGATTTTTATTTCAAAATGGAAAAGAATAATGTAAGTATTCTTAATATATTTATTTCTTTTAACACTTAAAAAAAAACAACAACTATAAATTCATAAAGTAAACTAGTAATTGTAGTGAACTTAAAATAATAATATTAGTAAACATACGCGTATTATCAAAAGCACTAAATTATTAGTCTGATAAATTTTTATTAGGTGAATAATTTCATTATGATTTTGGTTAGATATGGTGGCTATTTATGTCTTCTTTTTATATGATTAAAAAAAAAATAATAACTAAGTAAAATAATTTTAAAGAAATTTAATTTCATATATTTAAATACAAAAATTGCAAAGCTAGAATATTTGTGTAGTGAAAATTTTAAAAAATTACAATAAAAATATACGAAATTTTTAATTTTTTTGTTAATAAAAACTCATGCAAAAATATTTTATTTTGTTCAATTAGTTTTGTATTTTCATTTCATTAAATAGTGATGAAAAATTTTTTTATGAAAAAGTGACTAAATTTTTTTAGTTACCAAAAATTGAAGTATTGTAAATGTTTAATTTAATTTTTTCAGCAGTCATTCACAAGCAATTTTGAAATAAAATAAAAAAAGCAATAGTCTTCCATTAATTATTGAAAATTTACATAGTTATTTTAAAAAATTCAAAATATTTTATTAAAACTTACTCATTATTACATAAATTTTAAACAATAATTAAAATTTTTGAAATTTTTATCATAAAAATTTTTCATCAATTTAATGGAAAATTTTATTAATTTTTGAAATAAGTATGTTTGTATTTTAAAATTTTGGTTTTTTTAAACAATTTTTTATGTAATCATTAGAAAGTTTTCTTTGCGTCTGATTATTTGAAAATAAACTTTTTATTAATTTTTTTTTAAATAACAAAAGTTATTATTAAGTGAAAATATTTTAAACTTTATTTAAATATGTAATGTATTAAAAAAATAATATGAAAAATATGTTAAAATATAATTTTTATTTCTTTTTTTATTTTTTAATTTTATTTTAATCTAAGCCTTTTTAGTAATCTAGTTTTAAATTAGGAAAAAGAAAATATATTCATATTATTATTATTTTAGTAATTTTGTTTTTTTTTTTTTACTAAGAACTCCAAACCATCGCACTAGACATTACGTTTTATGTTTTTTTTTCATATATTAAACAGATGGAATATCCAAAAAGATTAGAATTTTTTTGTTCTAAATATGTAATCCTTTATATGTAGTTGATTATAAATTAAAATAAAATTATAGATTATAATTTAAAAAGAAAAATAATAGGTTCATAAAGAATACGAGAATAATATATAAATAGAATTCGAATAAATAAAATTCTCCGAAAGAAACCAATATGTAATTAAAAAAACATTTTTGAGAATCCTTTTTCAGTGTAAAAATATTTAAAAAAAAATCTCCAATAATTTATTATTGTTAAAAAAAAAGTTGTATGTACCTAAATGTAAAGTAAATTTTAACATTCAATTCACACAATTTTTTTGAAAATTGTGGTAATAAATTTTTTGAATAATTTTCCAATAAATTATTGAAAATTATAGAAATAAATAAAATAAAATAAGATTTTTATGTGACACGGTTTTTTCATAAAAGAAAAAAATAGAACGCAAATTTCATTAGAATTTCATTTAGAATTTCTTTGAAAAATGATTTTTGTTTCTATATTTTGATAGTAAATCCAGATATTTGTATTGAAAAATACTATATATTAAAACTTTTGCAAATTTTTGGAATAATTAAAAAATTGTAATCCAAAATTTGGTACATTTTACCAAATTCTCGTATGTATTAAGGAAAAAAAATAGTAAGTTTGCTTACTTATTGCTTTAATAAAATTAAAAGAATGATAATGCAAAATATTAAAAATGTTATATGAATTTTTCAATATTTTTTTTATATTTGATCTTCTTTTTTAATTCAATTAATCCTTAAGTCTCTTTGTTATAAAAATTTAATTATTTTCAGTATTCACATATTATATTTTATTTAAGAAATATGTTTTTAGATAAAATCAGATTAATTAGATTTAAATTTATTTGCGTGCATTTATAAATTTCTTTTAGAAAAAATATAATATCGAAAAAAATTTGTTATTTCTCCATAATTTCATATTTTTCCAACTCAAAATTTTAGTATGGAGTGCCTCATTTTCATAGTTAATGAATGTGCTGGATTATACAAACAAAAAGGTTTTAAAAATGTGAATATATTTTTAAAAAATATAAATATTTTTCTATATTGAAAAATTTTTGCAAAATTAATCAAATTTGATATAAAAACAAATTTA